TGCTAGAGGTGCCATAGAACGAGACGTGTTGGGTATAATTAATAGTCATCCTCAGCTTCGGAGATATGGGACAGACTTTCGCTCGACGGGCTTGCACAAGATGAGTATGCAGGTGGTGAACGAGGGAGAGAAGCATGTCGTGATGCAGCTCTTAGTAGCTTCAAGTAAACCAAGGGAGATGTTTGTGCAGGTGGTTGCAAGTCGGCATGAGGAGGAAGAAGACGGGACAGGAGATGGAGAGGAGAGGTGGGACTATGAAGATGTATCAGTGCAAACACCAGATGGGAAGGTTATAGATTTGACAAAGGAGCTATTCAAAGGAAAAGGAGGAAGGCGTATAATTATTGATGTACCTCCACGACGAGTGAAGAAAGATGAGGACTAAGTAAAGCGCCACATCGTAGAAAAAGAAGTCATCAATTTGACGAGGCATTCTTCGGAGCTGGCGTGCTTGTTGTATCGCCGGCTCAGTTCGATACGTGCTTTTTCCTGTGTACTAATAAATTTCTTGAAATTATATTAGGGCTTTTCTCTTTTACACAGGTTTGCTTACAGCTAGATACAACTGCTCACAGATATACTGTAGTGCAGGAAGCAAGAGGTTGTGCTTCAACCGTTAAAATTTTGATTTGAAGAACGTCCTAACCGTTCGAGACCGTTAAGAAGGATCGCTCCAACATGATTGCATTCTACTCGAGGTGTCTCTGCACCAACATATTTATCTCCATCTGATCCAAACTAAGCTTCATAAAGATTTTTATTCGTAGACTTTGTATGGTGGTCGTAACTTGTACGGTCAATTCATACATTTAAATTGCGAGAATCTTTTCTCCATAGAAAAATATTGCGATTGTTCATGACTAGATGGCTTTCGCTTGAGAGCAATAAATTATTCTGCAGAACCATTCATACACTCAACATTTCTGAATGTTATGAAGTATTTGGTGCAGATTTTCTGTGGGAAGATGAGGACTTTGTCTCTGATCGCGACAGCAGCCGGACTGGTGGGCGTCGCATATGGTGCGGAGCAAACGTAAGTGCGGCTTGATACACAAAATGTTGCTTGTTCACAAAAGCTGCGAAAATATGCATGTATTATCGGTTGTAATGATGATTTTAGGCTATCGACTGGATTTATTACGATGTGGCGAAATATCCGCCTTGTGTCTACTTCTGATTGTTCGCTTGTAGGCATGCTTTGAAACAGTTTAATAAAGATTAGTTGCATCGGATCTTGTACTTAATCTCTTGATTACTATAATAAATGTTAAGATGCGGGACACGGCTCGCGCCCGAATGCCCCGATGGATCGTTTTGCAGCACTGGATTGGGCGAATGCACGAGCCTACTTGGCGGCCTCAATACAAAAGGAGGCATGTGTAAGCTGAAACCAGACATGTGCGGTAAGTGCCCACATAGCTGCATGACAACCTCTACCAGCAAAGCTGTTGAATTTGATTAGACCACGTGATGTATGGGCAACATACATCATGTAGCTTACATGCGTACTTTCATTCTCCTCTATTTGATTCCCCGAAGCCCAATTTGTCGACCCAGTGTGCGGTTGCGACGGCGTTGATTACTCAAATGAATGCGAGGCCAACATGAAGGGCGTATCCGTGCAGTCAAAAGGCAATTGTCCCAAAAGTGGCGGACTAAACAACCTTCGGCCGGGCATTGGTGGCAACGCCGAGGGAGATCATGATTCAACTGCAGCTATCTACGGCACCTCTACAACAGACTGCGGTGGACCGACGGCCATTAAGTGTGCGCCTGACCACGTTTGTATCTATGAAGCGGGCAACGAGTGCGGAAAAGCCGAGGGTTCCGGTCACTGCGAGCCCACGAAAGACATAATGTGCATGGTAATATTCGTATGGTTGATGATCGGGGCAGGAAGCGTTGGTATTTCCCCCCAAAAGAGTAAATAGTGACGCACTTATACGCATTTGTAATCATCAATTAACTCCTGCGAAATACCATCCCAAATTTCTCAAGACCATTTCCATCGGAATAGATCATTGCCCCATCCACCCCTTCATTGTGGCTTTCCTTTTCTCCACACCCCACTCGTCTAGACTGACTACACCCCAGTCTGCGGATGCGATGGTACAACGTACAGCAACGCCTGTGTGGCGCAATACCAAAACGGCGTTCCTGTTCGAGGCCCCGGTACCTGCGAAGATGCAAGCGAGGGAACCGCGGACATTGCGGACACAAGTGGAGGACAGGATGTCGAAGAGCCCGCGAATGACCTGATTGACGGAGCGGAGGAGGTGGGCGAGGAACGAGAGGGAGGGCTTTTCCCCACGCACAAATGCACAGCAGATAAAGATTGCGGTCTCCACGGGTATTGCCACGTGCAAGAAGGGGGATGTAGCTCAAAAAACCCCATCACGGAGGGTGTGTGCGCCAAGAAGCCTTTGCGGTGTGAATCGCCGCCTTTTACAACGGCTTTCACTGCGGTGTGCGGCTGCGACGGCACTACCTACCCCACAGAGTGCCATGCCCGGCAAGCAGGAATGAGCATTTTCTATCGGGGTGCTTGCTTTAGACAGGGAACGCCCGCGCCGGCCGACTCTTGCGGTGGTAAGGGCCTCTATGCAGAGACCTGCAATAAGGAGGGCTACTACTGCCTCTACCAGCGGGGGGTTTGCAGTTTGCACGACAGCCTAGGCACATGCACCAGCAAACCGGCCATGTGCACACAGGAGATCGACCCCGTGTGCGGGTGCAACGGGAAGACCTATGACAATGCCTGCAAAGCAGCCATGGCGGGGTCCTCAATCAAGAGCAAGGGCGAGTGCCCGTTCGTCACCATCGACGACGGGTGGGGAGGAGGAGGCTTGACCATCGGCCTCCTTGCAAACGTGACCGGAGGGCCCTGCAAACCGAGTGCAGGCCTTACCTGCTCTGAGGGATACTACTGCACCTACGCCGCCGGCGTTTGTGGCTCGGAAGCGACCGCTGAGGGTTTATGCGTCGTCCAGCCCGAGTCCTGCGTGCCAGACCCATCCAGTGCCCATTCCGTTTGCGGTTGCGACGGGCATTCATGGGCCACTGCATGCGACGCAGCCATGGCGGGAGTGGCCTTGAAGGCGGAGACAGAGTGTCCACTAGTCTCTGTGCAGGTCACGTCGCCGGCGATGCATCGTTATCGAGGACGTGTGGGGGGAGTCATGGTGATGATGACCGTGTTTGGAATTTTGCTAGGCGCGTTGGCAATCTTTTGATTTTGGGACAGCAAGAAAAAAACGAAAAAGAGCTTGGCGGGAAAGAAACTTTGGACAAAGCACATGGAAGAAATGACAACGAAAGAGGAAATACGTGCAATGAGGAAGGAGTAACAGATTAGGAGGGATACGCATTGAAGCTTGAAATTGCGGCGGCGGAAACGATCGAGCAGAAAATCCATGACGACGCGAGCGTTCAAAGAAGAGGAGTGCGTGTGCATTTGTAATTGTGCTTTCGCGACGCGGTCATGAGCCACACAATGTGACGATATGTGTCCGCCTTGCCGAGAGTCTTTTGAAAAGTATCTGCGAAGTTGAGCTTTGTCATCGTCCTTTTCCTGCTTTTCTTTCCAGAAAGATGCATATTCCATGCTTGCAGGATAGAATTGCTTTCTTATGTATACGTACATATCCCTCAGATTGTGCAATACGCAACCTTGGTCGTCACGTCAAAATACCTGCGTGGAAACGGGCTCAATCAAAGTGAGCACCACTTCATTTGTTTAAAAATCCCTCATCAAGCAGAAATCAGTCGGGCGCTTCATGCATCAATTTTATCTTGATTCGTAGCATTCATTTTCGATCTCTGCGTTGAAAAGCTGATAGCACGCCGTTAAGACCTGTTTTACAGGCACGTTGACGTCTCGCACGGGGGGTAAAAGCTACTCTTCCTATACCAGCATCTTTCAGGCGATTGACAAAATATATCACGAAAGCACGTCCAAGAATGTTTTCAATTTCGTCTCGAGGCTTTGCTCGACAACTGACCAATATCATCGACGTGGAGTGCTGTGCTGTACGAGGACATTGCCGGTACTACACCTGCTCAAAGCTCATGCGATGGCGCCGCACCTCGCCACATCTCTTGACCTTCGCAATTGAAAATCAAGAGAGCTCGCCAGTCGCAATACTTCCACTTGTACCTGTCCGAAACAAAATTAGAGATGCTGTCGTGCGTAGCAGGATAGGATAGCATTTCAGAGATCTTAGCTTCTCAGGCACTTCTGATGGACGATCTATTGTCCAGATGCCTCAAAAACTAAACGAAATTGCAGAGATAAAGCCCTACATAGAACGTGTTGGTGGATGGTTGGGCCTGGAATTTACTTCAATGAGATGACACGTTTGGATGGCACGTTGTAGATGCATGGGCCAGGGCGACTGCGTGGGCGGCAAAAGAAGCTCGCCAAGACACGCACGGCAAACCATGTCCCACGGAGTAATAAGCACCAACCTCTCCACGGACTCAAGTCAAGTCTTTGTTTATCATTCGAGGGCTTAAAGCAGCACCTAAGACATTATTTTTAACTTTTTCTGCCCCAAAATACATCTACAGTCCCAGCTACTGCATGGCTGGCGTCCGCCGGTAACTTCGACGGCCTCTTCTTCTTTTTCCGATCGCAGCAAGCCTGTCTCCGGTGGACAAGGAGGTAATGGTCACGTTATCCTCAACCGCAGCAAATGCCGCGGCGATAAGCCAACAGCAGGCTTTCGACCCATTTGCGGCCGCCTCAGGAGCAGTTCTAAATCTGGTAGCCTGCTGTTGCCTTGGGGTTACTGCCAGCAGATACCGGGTACTCGACCAGCAGGCCCTCTCTGCCCTTTCACGCCTTGTCTACAACGTCTTTCAACCCTCTTTGCTCTTTACAAACGTCCTGCAAATTCTGGCCACCCCGTCTCAGACTCGGGGCACCATTTTTCTTCTCCCTTTGGCCGCTGCCGTCCAAATTGTCACGGCGGCGGGCATCTCGAGAGTGCTGCTCCGCCTGGTCGGTCTGAATCCATTTAGCGAGGCTGGGCGTGAGGTGCGGATCTGCTCCACCTTTGCAAATGCGGGCCCCTTACCCCTCTTGTTCGTGGATGCCCTCTTCAAAAACCATCCCGACCCGACCCTCCGCACCAGGGCCGTCGCCTTCATCTCTTTCTACTTGCTGGCCTGGTCCCCCCTCTTTTGGAACTACGGCTACGGCATCCTTGTGGACAAGACAGAGGATACAGGGGGAAAGAAAGGGCAACCGATGGAGTATTCCTCGCTGGGGACGCAGTCCGTGGGAGGGCCGCGTCTTGGCTCGGGCACGGGTGGCGCGGGCATGATGGTCAAAGGCAATGGGTCCGCCGCAGCCATGGTCTTGGAAGAAGGCTTCGATGGGAAGGAGGCCCATGCGACGAATTGGACCTCCCCACACCAGCAACAGTACAGCCGGCAGCAGGTGCCGTGCTCGGAGGGCCGCAGCGACCCTTCACATGCCCTCGTCAGGTCAGCGTTGGAGAAAGCCCGGCGAGTCGCACATTCGCGGGCGATGAAGAAGCTGCTCAACCCCCCGACCTTGGGGTGCACGCTGGGGGCCCTGGTAGGCGTTTGCTCTCCGCTTCGCGGGTAAGTGTTTTGGGGGAAGAAAGGCAGAGCGGGACAAGGGAAAGAAACTGAGGGAAGTCGCTTACTAGCCTCTTGGTGCTTCTCGCAGTCCCCTGCTGCCCATTTGGTGGCAACGGTGCCCAAGTGCTTAATATGCACACGCGCAACCTTACTCCTTTTCATGCCGTATACCACGTAGGCTCTTGTTCGGGGACACTGCGCCCTTCTCCTGCGTGTTTTCCGCTCTGAGGACCATGGGCTCTGCTTACGTGCCCTCTGTGCTCCTGATTCTTTCCGGATCTCTGGCGCAGGTACGCCAAAAAAGGAGCGAAGAAAAGCTATGGCCTTGAGGCATCTGTCTTTTTCATGTTATTTCGTCTGCATCATTTGACAATTTAAGAGACCCCATAAAATTTCATGTCCACCAGACATGTACATACATCCGCCGACTCACACATTATCCAACATTGCACAGGGTCTGGAGGGCTTTGATAGCAACGTTTTCCGGCGTGCCATGTTGGTCATGTTTCAACGTTTTTGCATCATGCCTGCAGTGGCGTTTGCGTGCGTTGAAGCCGGAAAACGCACAGGGTTACTGCCCACCCAGGACCCTTTACTCCTCTTTGTGATCCTCTTGCAAGGGTGCATGCCCTCCGCTCAAAACTCTGTACTCATTTTGCAATTAGAGAGACGGCCTCAGGCGGCTGCGTCTATGGCACGCCTCATTTCGACCGTCTATATTTTGTCCATACTACCCGTTGGTATGTTGATCCGTTCGTTACTCTCCTATTGTCCCATGGGATTCACCGCGTAACATTCGGAAGAATGATTAAAGCGACCTAACAGGCAAAAATTGCATCTCGTCATGTAATGGTTCACAACAAAAAATGGATACGTTGATTCCGAGCTTATTTGATGTCATTTAGCTGCCTTTTGAGGTCTCCGAGAGAATTGGAAAAGCGTCCAGCTACGCTTAGCTACGCCACACGAGCCCTTCCCCGGCGGAAAGGGTTATCTCAAATAAATGCGTGTCAAACAACCCCGCACAAGCACCACAGAGCTTGGTCTCATCCCACACATATGTAGTGCATCTTCTTGTGGGTATTGGAGGCAGTTTGCCCCCTAGACGCCTTTTTCCCCCTGATACCGAACATGTCCTGAATACTTACTACCAGCGCTCTAATGACCCGAAGAAACCGCCCACCGCTCACTCCCCGCAAATATTCACTCTACCATCTTATCCCGCGTTCATCCACAGGCGAAGCTCCGAGTGGCCGAGTACTTGAACTACTACATCGTGTGTTATCTCTATCAGGTGGTTTTGCGGTCTTTCCAGGATTGTTGGACCCGAAGCAATCCTACAAAAAGCATGTGGCACCCAAATAGCCTGATGCCTTCAGGCTACGAAGATGCCATCGCGAGCCAGTCCGTGAAGGATCAGCCACCAAAGGAACAACAGCAGCAATGTCAGCCGTCATCTCAAGGGGTGTATGGGCAGATGGTCTCAGGTGTATCGCAGGAAAAAGTGAAAAGAGGCCCTAACAAGGGAAAGCCTAATTCCAAAGATTCTGTAAACAAAGGTCGGCGTCAGCAGCAAGGAAATGGACAAAAAATGCAAGATCAGCCATCAGAAATGCAACATTTCCAACAAGGCAGCTGTTTACCGTCTTTCGAGCAGCAGTGGATGGCATTGATGGGACAAAATCTTACCTCGAACAGAGCCCCTCATCCTTTCCACGGCACGGTTCCCGCCGGCTCATTCAATTCGATGCGGGTCGATATCCATCAAGTCATGGCACCGGGAGTGGCACACAGCTTTATCATGTGGTGCATGAACCAGCGACCGCACCTCCCGCACGAAGCAATTCACTCCATGGTGCAGACTCAAGCAGGGATCTTGGCGCGGGCCATGATCCTCAAGGGCGCTTCTCACCTTTTGACAATGGAAGAGCTTTCTCTTTACGTCTACGACCCGACAACACTCTGCGAGCTACAAACAGCGCTCTGGCGGGCAGCGAACGAAAGGGTGGTGGTAAGCGAGGGGTGGCTCCTGCTCCTGTCCTTCTTGGGCTTAGCGCCGTCCACGGGCCCGACCCTGGCACCCGCCCCGGCCCATGCTATGAACACTTCTCAGAATGGGGGGGGGGGGCAAAACGCCCTGCATCAGATGTCACCCTTTCCCTTAAGTCTACCAGCGGGCGCGTCTCCTTTCTCCTTGCCCTCTTCGGGCCAGGGGGAGGCTGGAGGTAGCCCTTTCTTGCCCGCGCCCCACCAGCTTCAAGCACAGCAACGAGCTCATCAACAAGTTTTGGCCCTTGCTCTCATGGCGCAACAGCAACAAAACCAACAAGCGCGAGGATCGGTTCCCGGATTGCCTTTCATAAATATGCTTGGGCCAGAACAGAATTCATTTCGACACGTCTTGGAGCCGCAAGCTTCGCGATGGCAGCACCAGCAGCAGCAAGCAAATAATTTGTTGTTGCTGCAAGACACAGTGGCGAAGGAAAGCAGAAAAGTGGGCCAGGAGAAACCGCATGGCTCGAACACCAAGAACAAGCGGCCGCAGCTGTCAGGAAAGGAGCGGGGATGGCGACAAGCAGCCAAGGCTGTAGGGACGGGGGCGTCCGAGGGCGCATCCCTTTCCAAGGCACCTGACTCGAGCACGAGGCCGATAGCGCCCTTGCCCATGGCTGCCACCGAGGACCGCTGGCAGGAAAGGGAGCCACAGGCGGAAAATCGTCTCTCATACCCCGCTGGGGGCCGCGGGGGGGACTCCCAGGGGCCTCCCGCCGGTCCTCGTGCTCCTGAGATCCCGCCTTCGTCCTTGCCCACTCCTCTGGGATCTCCCTTGCACGTAGATCCTTTGCCTCCTGCCAAGCTTTCATCCTCTGCGTCCACCTCGGCGATGCCAGGGCCACGGCCGGCACCTACGGCCTCGGTCATGTCGCAGGCCTCGCACTTCTCGTCCTCCACCGACGCCTCCCTCCCCTCCGACATGGCTGTATCTTCCTCTGAGGCCGCCGTTTCTCCCTTGTCCATGACCGCTTCTGACAGGCAAGGGCCTGCGAGCGCAGACGAAGATACGGGGGAGAAGACACGGTATGGAGGGGCCCTGACTGTGTCAGCGAGGCGACCGGATGTATCCCCCGACGGAAAGGAAGCTACGGTATTCTTCGCAGCAGCGCGATCCCAGCCACAGTCACAGGAGCAAGAAAAGGCCCAGGGGCGGGAGCAGGGGTTAGGGCGGTTGAAAGAGCAAGACGAGGAACAGCATTGGGTGGAGCGGAATGACGCGGCGAAGGGTAGCATGGCCACCCAACAATTTATGCGCGAGGGGTACAAGGGATCCGGGGGGAGTCACACGGGAACCACGTGGGATTCCTCGGACGACGAAAGCGACATGGAGCTGGATGGCCACGCGGAAGTGCTCACTAGCTTGTCATTGGCCTTGGTAGGAAGCCAGGAGCAGAAGGGAGGCTCCCAAACAAGCAGGGGCCAGTGGCCGGCGAGGGAGGAGGAGGAGGAGGAGGAGGAAGGCGAGGATGCTTCTGACTTCGGTGTGGAGGAATTGGAGGACGAGGAGAGTGGCCAGGACTCCGATGCGATGCAATACGCAGCGGAGCGCAAATTGGGCCCTGGCACGCTCGGCCCCTATCGCCCCTTGACCGTGGCGCACAAGGAGGCACCCCCGCTCCTCAGGAAAGGCCGTCGTGTCCGACGTCGTCGGTCGCACGCGATCGATGATTGTTTGCTCTGTGACTTTGCTGGATGGATGCGTCAGGACTTGGGCATCACGAACCAGCTCATGGCGCGGGCCATCAGCATTGGTATCGACGATGGTGTGTCCCGCCTGGTCAAGCTGCTCAAGCCGCCCGCGGACCTTCCATCGACGGGCGATTTCTTAGGGGTGTCAAGCATTTCCACGCCTGCACGCGGTCGGGTGCTTTTCAGGAAATGGGAGGAGGTGATCCGTTTCTTGGAGAGGTCCGTAACCGAATGCTGGAGCCGTTTGCCTCCGTCCGCGGGACCCACGTTGGACTACCACGTCAAGCAAATTCAGTGTTTTGGCAGCTTCCTTCGTGCGCAGGGTTTTGATTTTCAATTGGATGGGGGCTCAACCTGTCAATCGACGATTGGCCTGACGCGCTTGGCGAAGGCGATGTTTGGGCGGACGGCGTCGGAGCTGGAGGAGGAGCGTAAACGAGGGAAGACCCAGGAGATAGGCAAGGTGGAAGGGATGAAATACGCACTGTCCGCGGAAACGATGCAGCAGGTGCGCCACTGGGCGGCGATGGAGAGATGGGGGGCAAACAGAGGCGGCTTGGACTCGGCGCAGGTCATGAAGATGGTGGGCCGGGCAGCTCAAGCTCTCAAACGAAAGGTGATCACGGGGGTTGAGACGGGGGGGGGGGGCATGAAGGCATGAGAGGACTGAGCCTTTCCTTCGCGTTTGCGTTGAAAGTTGGGCGTTTCGTCGGGGACATTTCCTCGAAAGCTCCCTTTCATGGCCCGTCGACTCACTTGCTCTCCTCTTTACCCCTCTTCATCTCCTCGTCAGCACATCAACCCCATCGCGTATTTCACGGACACAAAATGGTCCCGGATCGATGGCAACCTGTGGGAGCAGGAAATTGGTGCCTTCCTGGGACTTGAAGCATGTCAGCGATGCAATAACCGTCGGTCGGTGAAGGA